CCCCCAGCAAAGGGTCTATCTGCTGGGCTAGGGCCTGTACCCCGGCCCTCTGCCCCAGGCTGTGCTCCCTGCATGCCCTCTGATTTGCCCTGAACTGGGGACAGTTGGGCTATTGCGCTTAATGCATGAAGCTGCACTGGAAAAGCTGGGAGCTGCTATTCTCTCATGTTACAGGTGAGGAGCAGGTGCATGGAGAACCTGCCCTGATCTAGGACACTGGTTTTCTCACAAAGATGCCCAATCGCTTGCTTGCTCTGCCAAGGCAAGTCCCCAAGCCTGTGCTCACCACCTCCCTCGTGAGCAGCCCTGTGTGCAGTTCAATAGTCCAGCTCCAGCTCCTGCCCTTGCTCCCAGAAAGGATGCAGTGGCAACAGTGGCGGCAGTGGCAATGGCAGATACGCCCAGCAAAGAGCCTGTGACCCAAGCTGCCAACCTGTGGCAGGAGGGAAGCAGTGAGGAAGAGCCACCTCCAGTAAGGGACAGAGGCTCAGGAACCATCAACCAGTCGCATACGGTTTGGGACTGACCTCAGGGAAACCAGTATGTTCCATGGCATATCAGAGGTGTCCGCTGGGAGGGCTGAGACACAGCCTTGAAGAATGGGGAGAAGTTCTTCAGGTATACAGGGTAGGGACTACTGCGCCAGGCACAGAAAAGTATAGACGTGCAGTGTGAGGAGTGTGGGTCAATGGGGTGACAACTCCCACCCCTAACCAGTGCAATTGTATTACCTGACTTGTCAGCTCCCTGACAAGCACTGGGTGCCACAGCTATCTTTACCCCAGTCTCTCTCTCTCTCTCTGAAGCCCTCTGCCTCCCATGCTGGCTAGTGCCACTCAAGCAGCTCTGGAAAGAAATGACTGAACCTACAGCAGGGACAGAGGACGGCAGTGACAGAGTAAAGTACCCTAGACCAAGGCCATGGCTGAAGATCCCACAGCATGAGTGGGCAGCTGGATGGCATTGGGGTGGTGATCAATTCCATACCTCAGCTGGCTGGGTGGGGCTCCAGATGTAAAGGAAACCTTGAGGGGCCGACGAGCAACTGACTTGTGACAGCAAGTGTGTCTGTGTGTGTGTGATTCTGTGTGCAAGCTGTGATGAGAGACCCGTATGTGAGCACATAGATGTGGTAGACACCTGTGCCCCGGGGTAGGCACACTACAGCAGACGTGGGGTCTGTGGGAGTGCTTCAGGGTCAGCATGGGAAGGAAGCAGGATCTGGGCATACAGGGGACAGTGAGGGTCTGGGTTTGCCACAGTGGACTCTTTCTGCTAAGTTCTGCCTCAAGCAAACCTCACAGCAGTGGCAGGGAAGGGGCTGCCCCTGACTGAGGGGAAGAAGGTGGGCCTGGCCTCCAGCTCTGGGGAGGGTAGGGGGAGTGCAGGAGGCTGAGTTCTTAGGGCCCTCCAAGCCTAAAACTCTTGAGAGCAGCCCCTCCACCAGTACCCGGGCTTCCAGGATTGAAGAGGTTAATGCAGACCATCAAGGTTCTCTCCAGAACCTTCACCTTGCACTCCTGCAACCTGGCCTGAATCTCCCAAAGAGGAGACTGTGGACCTAGAAACTACCGTCTGAAACCTGGAAAAGCTGAGAGACAGGGAGGGGTGGTCCCAGATTCCAGACCCAGGTCAGCAAGGCCAGGTCTTGGGGCAGAAGGGTCAGTAACACAGCCCCGGCTGGCCACTTTGGTCCCCCTGAGCAACAGCCTGCATCCCCAAGCTTAGGGGTTGGGAGAAATGTCAACATTGCAATTCAGGCCTGGCGGCCCCTGGCCTACCACAGGAGGGTCCAGCCCCTGCCTTGTGCAGCCTTACTTTCCGCCAAGTCCTCTCAGTCTTGCCCTTTGCAACGTAACACAAGTGCTGGCATCACGCCCCCGCCGCCCCACTCCACATGGCTGGCTCCACACCATCTCAACAACACAGCAGCTAAAAGACTCAAAACGTGAATGGAAATTGGGAACCCCCCTCTCCTGTCTGTCTAGAGGGAAATCAACACCTCGGTGAAGGTTTGGGACCTCTCACCCCTCCCTGTGTTCTTAGCCCTGCCTTTCGTGGCTGACACCAAGAGAAGGGCCCTCCTGCTTCTTGGGCTCCAGCGGCTGCTCCCTCACCCTCACACAGGACACAGATCGTCCCCAAAGGAGGCAACATCAAAACTGCCGCACCCCGGGGGCCCCTAATAACTGGGTAAACTGAGGCCCAGGGGCTGCAACTCTTCCTCCCTTTGTTGGCCAACTGCCAACCTCTCCCCACTCCCATCCCTCCTCCCCCGCCTCCTGGTCCAGTCCTGCCCAGTCCCTGGAGCCTGCCTCCCCCTTTGATGTAAGCTGATATTTTAATTCTCTTACAAGGAATGGTGTTTAGAGAAATGACTTAACTGGATTACTCATCGTCTATAATGACTTGGCTGGGCTCCAAGGCTATTCCTAGATGTGACGCTTGAGGCTCTCTTTCTTTTTTTCTAATACCAAGAAATTACCGCCTGGCTTATGCAGCAGCCCGCTCCTACACACCCCCCTCTGCACAGCAACCTGGGAGATGTAGTTCAGGGCTGGTCCTGGGAGGCCCACCCTCCCCACTGAACCCCCAAGTCTAAGCTTCTTCCAATCTGTGTTTATCTTGAACTCACCAACATCCTGGCCCACAGGCAATCCTTGCTAGGCCCTACTGTGTGCACTTGCCCAGTATTTACTCCCTGATGCTCAGTGTTCTTGGCTGTATATGGGTTTCAGTGTTTACCCCGGGGTGGCATTAAGTTAACTAATGTACGTGAGAGGCTCTGGTGATGTTTGATGGACCATGACAGGCATGGTCAACCCTCAGCCCTGACCTTGGCTTCATAACAGATAACGGAATGTGTTTCATTTTCTTTTTTTTTTTTTTCCTTTCTTCCTTTCTTTCAACAGAGTGTTTCTCAGCAGCCTTTGTCACTGGTGAAGTCTCCAACTCCTGTTCCTAAGCTTTCAGATCATGCTCTGGCACTGGCTATGTCCCAGTGTCCAGCTTGGAATGGGCATGCAGCAGGACTGCGTAAATTGCATGCAAGGTGAATAAAGAAAGCTTTGACTGCTTTCCAGTCAAAGCACTGGAATCAAGGCCACAAGCTGGGTTGGTCCAAGTGCAGGTGACAGCCCAAACTTGATCACCTCCTGGCCCTTTCCAGGGGAGTCCTTCTCTCACTCTTATAGTTCTGCAAGCTCAGCATTCATGGACCTGCACCTGTTGGCAGCTGTCTGGGAATTGGGGTGTAGGCAGGGGTGCCAACCCAGCCCGAGCCCAGATAAGGAAGTTCTCCAGGTGCACTGGAGGGCAAGACCAAAGCGGGGAGGGGGGGGGAGTCTCAGACAGAACTTCCTTGAGCCAGCGTAGATGCAGAGCCCAGCGTGGCCAAGGCTTTGGAGCTGGGGTTCAGTTGCCCAGTGTTGGGGGAGCAGCAGTGGGGCCTCCTTGTTTGTAGGAAGTTGGCCCTTGGCCATCTGGAACTCTGCCTCTGAGCTGGCACCACCACTGCCCCACGCCCCTCACCCCCAGCAGCTTCCCGAAGACCAGAGCTATTCTCGTCTTTTTCTAAAAGAGGCATTTGAATGCCTGAGCCGATTTTTTCCATTCCTGAGCAGGGGTGTCGTCTATTTTCGGACACTTGTTGTTTTCCATGAGTTGCAAATGCCACTCTGAAGCTGGCCTTTTCCTGGACAGCGGGTGTGAATGGGTGGGATGGAGCTGGAGAGGGGGCCGGGAGAGGGCCGGGAGAAGCTAGGCAGCAAAGCAGAACCAGCCAGCACTAAGACCGCTTCTCCTTGGAAAACAAAGCCCCAGGGAACCTTTTGCAAGGGCTGAGCCTGGGATCAGAGCTGCTCCACACAGAACGCGAGGCTGTGCTCTGCTTCCTGAGCGCTGGCTGGATGTGCCAGTCTCAAAGGAAGTAACAGCTCTAACTTGGCTGTGTGACCTTGGGCCTGATGGCCTCCTCATTGAAATGCAGCCGAGGTAGCAGAGGTGTGGGGGGCATGGAGAGAAGGGCTGCCCTTGAAGGACTCCTAGATGCTTGTGGAGGATGGCCCGGTTGCCATGTCAGAAATGAGACCCTCAGGAAGTGAGGCTGTGCACTAGGAGGCAGCTTTCAGTTCAGTCCTAGGGGAGCTGTTGTGAACTCCTGGGCCTTGAAAGGGTTCTAAAGGGGGCTTAGAAAGTTCTCAGCAGAACTCACATAATCTCAAAAAAAGATGAAGAGCTATGGTGAGGTAATTAAAGACACTGTGAGGAGTGAACCAGGGAACAGGACCTCCCTCTGCTTATCAAACAAGTAAAAATTATTTTTAAAAAAGATTTATTTACTTTATTGGAAAAGCAGAGTTACAGAGAAGCAGAGACAGAGAGAAGGACCTTCTATCTGCTGGTTCACTCCCCAAAAAGCCACAAGGGCCAGAGCTGAACTGATCTGAAGCCAGGAGCCAGGAGCTTCTTCTGGGTCTCCCAGGTGGATACAGCGTCCCAAGGGCTTGGGTCATTCTCTACTGCTTTGCCAGGCCACAAGCAGGGAGCTGGATGGGAAGTGGAGCCGCAGGGACATGAACTGACACCCATGTGGGATAGCAGTGCTGCAAGGAGGAGGATTAGCCAATTGAGATGTCGTGCCAGCCACAGTCTGTGTTCTAATGAAATGATTTCCAAACGCCGCTGTCAATCAAAACAACCACTTGTGGAATGGACCAATCGTTATTGTAGCATTTGCTTAAAAAATAAGACCATAAGGCAATGCCACATATCTTCCTATAAACACGCTGCATAGGGAAAGTGCTGGAAGTCTTTACCCAGGCTTATAGTAGCCGTTACCTCTGTGTCAGAGACGGAGCTGACTTTGGACTAATGTTGGAGAAGACGATTGATTTGTAATGTTTTCCCAGGAAGAGCATGTTTATTCGCTACTGGTGATCCAGTTTTCTGAACTGAGACACGTAGACACATCAAGACTTGCAGGTGGTAGGCACTCGTACCTCGTGAGGTCCTGGGGCTGGGGTCCTGGGGTCAGAGGTGGAGGTGGATGGGGGAGACGCTTGGGCAGTTGTAGTGTTTATATGCTTCCAGGGGCAGGTGCTGGCTTTCTGAGGCTTCGCACAGCAAAGTCTATACTACACCAGCCCTATCCGGATGGCACAACGACCCAGCCCATAGGAGGGGGAGCCCCTGCGTGGTAAGTTAGTAAGTGCCTCATCCATGGGATGTCTAGTCCAGGAAAGATGGGCTGGCCTAGATTGGAGCCCCAAGGGCAGTGTCCAAGGTGCCACTCCCTACCGGGGCTGGACCAGTCACTCCCTGCGCGAAGTGGCTCGGGGAGCTTGCTGGTGGCTTTCCCATTAGCGTGCTTTCTGCCACAATCTCAGCTCTGCTGGAGGGGAGTGTGGCTTGTAAGCCTGATAATGGGGCGCACTGTTTTCATCGCCATTCATTATTTGATGGGAGAGGAAAATTGCTGTGGTGAAGTAGCTTAAGCCTCTATCTGCAATGCTGGCATCCTACATGGAAGTCAACAAGCTCAAAACTCGAGGCTCTGCTTCCAACCCGGTCGCCCCCACTAATGTGCATGGGAGGGCAGAGGAAGATGGACCAAGTGCTTGGGCCCCTGGCACCCATGCAGGTGAACCAGATGGAATTCCAAGCTCCTGACTCAAGCCTAGGTCCAGCCCTGGCTGGCGGTGAACTGGTAGATAGGCGACCTCTTTCTCTCTGTCTCTTTCTTGCTAGCTAGCTACTCTCTGTGGTCTATGCAGGTCCAAGTGATTGCTGCCTGGGTGGCACCTCCTGCCCCCTCCCCACTCACCCTTAAGCCTCACCCTCAACAGGACCTGTCGCCCTGTCCATGCGACACGTGTGGATATTGGCCATGGCGCACAGGCTGGGGACATTGGGCATTTCTGGGACCATCACAGATCCTAGGCCAAGGGCTTGTGAGCTGATGCCAACCACCGCCCCTCCTGTGCCAGACATGGGTAGTACCCAAGGCCACCTTTAAGTCAAAGTCGGATTCAACCAGTGTGAGTGAGGAGGATTTTCCAAGACTCTAAGTGAGGCGCAAGGCGGCAATGATTTCAGCGTTTCCTGCCCCAGCTCCTCTCGGGTGGAGCGGGGAGCGGGAAGCCTGCCTGAATCGCATTCTAGGCATCCTGATCCCTAAGCCCAGGAGAGGGAAACGCGCACTACAACTCCCAGAGATCCGCGGGCTCTGGGGGCGGTCCCTGCCCGTCGCGGGGTAACCAGGCCCGCCAATGGGGACCCGGAGCGGGGCGGAGGCGCTGCCCGGGCGGGGCGGGGCGTGGCTGCGGGGAGGCGGCGGGCGAGCGGCGCCGCGGGCAGTCGAGCAGGAGCGCGGGGTCCGGAGAGCCGCGCGCGACGGAGAGGGTCCCGGGCGGGTGCCTGGGGAACTCGCCCTGCCATGGGTAAGCGGCTCTGCGACCCGGTCGGGACGGGGCTCTGCGGCCCCGCGGGGAGGATGCCAGCTGTGCCCCGGCTCGCGTGGACGCCGCCGGGGTCACCCCTGGCTGAGGGGAGCGGGGGGCGCCACGGGGCCTGAGGCGGCTGCGGGGCCGAGGGCGCGGGGAGCAAGCCTGCGTCCGGGGCGCCGGGGGCTCCGGTGTCCCCAGTCCGGCCCGCAAGGCAAGGTACCGGGCAAGCTGGCTGTGTGCGCCCGCGCTCTTGGAGCCAAGGGCAAGGCTAAAAGTTTGGCGGCCCGGGGCTTCCCGGGCGTTGATCTCGAAACTCTTTTCGCCGTCTCCGGGACCGAGATGTACCAGCCGCGGAGGGCTCTGCTGTCCCACTTCCTGCTGCGGTTTCAATCTCGAACGGGTCCGCTCATTTGTTGTGACAGCTGTCAGCAGCGCCGTCGCGGCCCCTCGCCTCCGCCCCCGCGACGACCCGCGGTTCTCAGAACCGCCCGCGCCGCCGAGAAAGGCGCGTCCTGCGCGGCCGCCGGTTCCTGAAAGTGGCCGCGCGGGTTTTCAAGAACTTGCTCGAGGGGCGCGCCGCCGCCGCCGCCTTCCGCTCCGTCCCTACTGATCTCTCTTCTGGACTTCGGGCTCTTTCCCCAGCCCTTCTCTTTCCTTGGGTCCCCAGAAGGGGCAGGCGTGCGGCACAGAGGGCTGGCGTGCAGGCTGCGGAGCGCACGGGCGATGGATGGAGAGGGTTCCGCTCGGCCTGGTGACAGAGGCGCCATCCGGGCGCCGCTTCAGGGCTCCCGCTGGCGCAGATCCCTCCCGAGGGGTCCAGGGCTTGTGAGATGCAGTACTGGCCGGGCCAGCTCCTCTTTGTGCAGTCTTGGGACAGCAGGGAAAGAGTAGCAGGTGCTTTTTGTGTTCATCTGAGTCCCCCGTTGTTGGGAACCAATTCACGCATGGGAAACTCTGTGTCTACAGGTGGTGCCAAGGCTGAGAAAGGTTGGGGTCGCTGGAACAGAGAGGTAGAGCCCCATCCTGGCCCTAGGGACTGACCTGGGACCTGGAACTGTGGCTGGGGTTAGGGAGGGCTGCACCCTCCATCCTCAGGGGTCCCACGACTGACTCAAAGTCCCAAGGGCAGCAACAACTGCCAGGCAGCAGGCTCCCAGCCATGGACAGGGGGCTGACTGGCCGCTTCAAAGGCCGTCTTTGTTTCAGCTCCGGCTCAGGCTTCAGCTGGGAGTAACTTAAGCCAACAACCTCGGCTGGGTGAGGGGGCAGGGCGTGCCTGGCGTTCCCCAGGCTGCTGCTGTTACCATGATGGGTAGTAACTGACGCCGTGTTCCCAGTCAGTGACTTTTCATGAAAGGAAGTGGCACTTCCTTCCCATCACACAGAGGGTGAGTGGGGCTGGCAAGAGAGACGGGGCGGAGAGACAGGGGTGTGTCAGCCCCTCCCTTGGGCACTGGGGTAATCTGGTACCCAGTATATTTGGGCACAGGCCAGCAGCACCTGCCAACTTGTGATGGGGTGGGGGGAGCAGGGCAGCAGGTGTACTTCTCACTCGAGGCTGTGTGTGTGCAGGCTGGGGGCGCGGCTGTGCTTGCTGGAAAAGCCTTGTTGCTCTCCTGCCTTCTGCTTGGAACCTTGGCCTGTGGAGTCCAGCACACCCAGCTTACAGATGGGGAAACTGAGGCACAACAGTTAAATATCTGATTTGGCAACAGTTGCAGCCCTGTGGTGCTGGATCCCTCACTACATCCCTCTTCCTGGTCTTGCTGGATGCCAGCTGTTGTGTGGCAGCCTAGAAGGAGGCATGGATCTCTCCATGCCAGCCCATGCCCTGGATTGACTGTCTTAACCCTGGTTGAATTCCTCTGCTGGCCCCTCCTCACTGCACTGCTCTTACCTTCCTCCCAGGTTCCTCCTAGGTTCTGGCCAGGGGCAGCCCACTCCCCTCCTCTCCCTTCATTCTTTAGGGTGATAGGCGGTTAAAGACATCTCAGCTGGGAACACCTCTGATGCCAAGGGGGCAGGGGCCAAGGGGCTCGGTGGGGCTGCAGCCAGGATGTGGCTGATTTAGCAGCCAACACGGACCAGCTCTCTCGCTGGCAGAGGAACAGAGGTGATGCCATGTAGATCCACTTGGGGACAGCGGTCATGGTCTGGCCTCTGAGCCACCTGAGGGTCTTGGGGTATCACTGTTCCTATTGAAAAGGCCAAACCCGCGCAGGGTTTCAGGGTTCAGCATCTTGAAACCATCAGACTGCTCCGGTTCTAAATCCCAGCCCTGCGCTGGTGGGCTGTGTGACCTCAGGCGAGTTACTGAGCCTTTTTTTAGTTTCAGGCATGACATGCATTCAAGAGGGACACAGCACCCACTGGGTGGCTGCAGATGAGCTGCTAGGCTGAGGCCAGCCAGAGCACAGCTTTGAGCAGGTTGGGGAAGGGGGAGGAGGAGCCGCTGCTGGCGCCTGCGGTGTGGACAATGAAAGGGGAGTCCCAGGAACTCCTGGAGCAAAGTAGGAAAGGCCCAGCCAGGGCTTCCAGAAGGCACCTCAGAGGACACAGGGTGGACCGGAATCCTTGTGGGCAGGTGATGCTGGCCCCACGGGGGCAGAGCTGTAGTGGTGCTGTTTCTCTCTGAGTCCTTTTCTTTCTTTCTTTTTGATAAGTAACTGTTTATTTTGTGAGGTTTATTTATTTGCTTTTATTGGAAAGGCAGATTTACAAAGAGAGAGGGGGAGACAGAGATCTCTCCACTGGTTCACTCTCCAAGTGGCTGCAACGGCCAGAGCTGGGCTAGTCCAAAGCCAGGAGCTTGCAGTTTCTTCTACATCTCCACTTGTGTGTGGGGTCCCAAGGCTCTGAGCCGTCCTCGACTGCTTTCCCAGGCCACAAGCAGGGAGCTGGATGGAAAGTGGAGCAGCTGGAACATGAACCAATGCCTGTATGGGAAGCCAGCAGCCCCCTGCCCCACCCCATAGATGGAGGCCTAAACTACTATGCCGTGATGTATTAATCCTTTTCTAAATTTACACGCAGTTCAATCAGAACCAAGTAATACTTTGGTTAAAGAGCATGTGACACAGTTATTGGATAATTCAGGCAGAATCATTTAACAAGAGGAGTAGTGGTGTCACCTACCCTCTGACTAGTGGGTTGTTTGACACACATGGAAACACTGGGAGGGGATCCCAGCCTTCCACCAGCAAACACAGCAGAACGTCCCAAAGTAAACTCACATGTGCTCCCTGTCAAACATGGGGCCACTTCGGCTGGCAGGGAGCCCTCTTGGGTGATCCCTAGTCCAGGCCTCCCCGCAGAACAGATGGCGGGGATGGGAAATCAGCAGCCAGCCAGCACCCACCTTTTTCATTGCTGATAGTTCTTCGATGAGAATGTCCATGTCTGAGTGATGTTCAGGGCAGAAGAGGTGCATGGGGCTCAGGACATCAGAGGCAGTGTATGGGAAGGCTGGAACCCACAGCCAGAGCATGATAGCCACTCAGGGCCCAGTAGCCAGATGGACCAAGGTGTAGGGACACTGGGGTAGCCAGCTGCATGAGCCCCTCCCCTCCCCTGAAGAGCCAGGAGAGGGACCCAGACTTGCCACTTGGGTCCCACGCCAAGAGGTGGCAGAGCTGGAAACTGGGCAGGCAGGAAGACCAACTTCCATATATATAGATGCTGCAAGCTGGTTGTTCATGGTTGGACCACTTTTTTACTAATGAAGATTTACCTGGGGATTGGGCCACAATCCCAAGAAGCACAATTCTAAATATGGAAAAACCCCATGTCAAAATCCCTAAGGACTGATACTCTGAAAATCAAAATCCTGAAAATAGAGTTCCAGAAAAAAATTTAAAAACACTTATTTATAAGTTTTAGACGAAATTTGAGAACCAGAAAAATGACAGAATACTTTATAGGTCACTACACAATAACAAAGGCAATAATATAGTATTTTTATAAACATAAGCATGTGTACTTGCAACAATTGCCTGGACATATTAGAGGACAAACAGTACTCACTAAAGAAAAAGGTTGGAAAGGACAGTCTAGGGTAGGCATCTGACTTGGCTGTTAAAGGTAGCCATGCATCAGGTCAGAGTACCTGGGTTTGGCACCTGGCACTGACTCCTGGCTCCAGCTGCCTGCTGATGCTGCCGCTGGTGGAGTGGGGCGGCGGGCAGAAGGGATGGCTGAAATGGTTGTGTCCCTGCCAGCAGTGTGGGAGAGCTGGACTGAGTCCCTAACTCCCACTTCAGGCCCTGGGGGAGTGAAACGGTAAATGAAAGTTCTCTCTAAATAAATACATATAGTTTTTCAGTATGATATATATATATGATATATATGCCTGGTATGATGCTGCAGTGACTAAATCCTCACCTTGCAAGGGCCAGGATCCCAATATGGGCACTGGTTTGTGACCCGGGTGTTCCACTTCCGGCCCAGCTCCCTGCTTATGACCTGGGAAAGCAGTCAGGGACAGCCCAAAGCCTTGGGACCCTGCCCCCGCGTGAAAGACCCAGAGGAAGCTGCTGGCTCCTGGCTTCAGATCAGATCAGCTCAGCTCTGGCCATTGCAGTCATTTGGGGAGTGAACCAGCGGATGGAAGTTCTTTCTCTCTGTACATCTGCCTTTCCAATAAAAATTTTAAAAATTAAAAAAATAATAAGATATGAAGTATATGAGACATATGTCATCTGGTAGTAACTGCTTGCCCCCAGCTTTCTAACTGCTGTCATCTGAAGTCTGGCACAGACAAGTCCTTGACATGATGAGTCCCCCACAACTACAGTGGGGGATGGACAGGTACAGTGGGTCAGGCCACGGCCTAGGTCAGCTACATCCCACACCAGAGTGTGTGGTACTGAGTTCTGGCTCCTCCCTTCCAATCCAGTGTCCTACTAACATGTCTGGGAGGTAGCGAATAACTCAAGTGCTGGCCTTCCCCTTGCAGGAGACCTGGACGGAGTTCTTGGCTTCTGCCTTGGGCCCTGCCCAGCTCAAGCTATAGCAGGCACTAGCAGATGGAAAATCTTTCTGTCGCTCCCTTCGTCAATAACTCTTTAAGGAAAATAAACTTCCATAGAACTCCACCACAGAACTGAGCTCTCTAGAAAGGTTTTCCAAATGCAAATGTAGAATGTCCTTCTTTATTGTGAGGAAGTTTTTACCAAATTCTAAAATTATGTACGTATCTTATGTGAAAGGTAGGAAGAAGGAGGTTGAGGGGGAAGGTGTCTTGCACCTGCTTATTCATTACCCCAGAAGCCCAGAACAGCTAGGGTGAGGCCGGGCCAAACCAGGAGGCACTCATCTCAGGTGCCTCGGGGCGAATGACAGGGACCCAAAGACTTCAGCTAGCACCTGTTCTGCCTCCCAGGCTGTATGTCAGTGGGAAGCTGGGTGGACAGTGAAGCGGGACTTTCAGGCCCCCGATGGTGCAGGCGTCCCAAGCCGAGCCTCTGGCCCGAGGCTCACCACGTGCACAGGCATCATGATCAGTGTTGCGATAGTGTGCTTTTGAAAAACGAAACAAAAGCTGCATACATCTCATTAGGATTCTCCCTCCAGTATTGGAAGTGATGCAAAGATGGAATATATAGCATAGTGAATGCTAGACAAATAATAATAATGCTGGCAAGTTAACACAGTGGGGATTTAAGAGCAAAAAGGAAACACCCTGAAAAGACCGTTTGACTTTTGGGATTCCTGCTTTTGGGATTTCATCACTTGGGGTTGTGAATTTAGGCTTAAGGATTTGACTTTGGGGGATTTCCACATTTTTGGATTATGGCATATGGGGTTATGGCTAGCGCTGGAATTGCCTGGGGCCCTGATATATAAAGGAGCATGTCCAAATGTTCATGCAAAACAGGATTGAAAACTTAATCTATTCTGTTGTTTTTAAAAAATGTTTGGAATCCTTGCATTTCAGAATTCAGGAAAAATGTACATTCTGAAAACACCCTGCACAGCTTTTAAAGTGGGTTGTTGGGGTACCAAAAATAAAGGGATCTCTGAATTCCGTTTTCCATGTACTTTTCTTTTGGGGTGTCCCTCCACACCCAAAGAAGAGGAGAATATATGGTCCTCACCTCAGACTGTGGCACTGAGGCCCAGCAGCCGGCCAGCACAGAGCCGGTCCTGGCCAGGAGACCTACGGAGGCCAGGTTCATCTGGGAACTCGGAGACAGCTGTGGCTCAGGGCGCTCCAATCCCGGTCCCAGCTGGGGTTCAATGGCAACCTCCAGTTCAGGTCACTGGGACTCCAGGAGGCTGGCCCAGGCACAGCTCACACACTGCGGGCGCTGAGGGCAGAGGACCCCAGATCCTCTGGCCTTACGCCCCTCACTCTGGTTGTCCCCCAGGCGTCCCTCTTGAGTCCTGCTTCAACTGCCTGACTTTTCTGAAGCTGAGGGGCAGCAGCTGGCGGCTGTTGGCCCAGAGGCTCCCCATGAGAGGAGCCCTTGCATGTGGCCCCCATCCCCAAAACAAGGGAAGCCAAGGACAATGGAAAGTGGCTATGCAGGCAGGCAGGCAGGCAAAGGAGAGCTGGCAAGGGCAGAGAACTTCAGGAATTCACAGTTCACCAAGACCCAGGGGCCTCCCATTTCACAGAAGGGAAAACTGAGGCAGCCAGCTTGGTTGGAAAGTGAGATGGGTCAGTTGTCATGCTCAGCATTTCTGGAGATTGGCTAGGTCACAAGTAGTCAGGGGTGGCATGTGTGTGCACTTCTTCTCCTAGACAGCCCAGGGGTGGGTTTCCCAACAGGCTGGTGGGGGCTGCTGGGGTCAGCGTCTGAGACAGGTCCTGTGGCAGGTAAGGATCGACAGGCAACTCCCCCTCTCTGGCTTCTAATCAGAGAACATACATGAAAGAGCTCAGGGACAGAGGCCAGGAGCCCACGGTGTGAGCAGGTCGTGGCAGGCACAATAGCTCCCCCACTCCATGGCTTGCTTATGGCTGTGCCAGCCTGCTGGGTGCAGTGGCCCTGGGCCACTGTCCAGGCCAGATCTCTTTGTGGTTGAAATGGAGGAGACAGGACAGCTCAGAGGTTCCCAACCAGGAGGCTTTCCTGTGTGGGATGGTGCCAGCTGTAGGAAGGACAATGGTTGTGGAAGGAGGTGGGTTCCCCATTTCAGGTGTACTGCCCCCCTGAGTGCAGCCCTGGACCATTTGTCAGCCAGATGGAGCCGGTGGCTGCTCCTGCCTTCTGCGGAGTGGGGTGGGGCTGGGGTGTGGAGGGCTGCCGGCCCACCTGACTGCTCTGGCGTGGGTGGGAGCTGCTTAAGCTGCAGGCAGTGCAGTAGCCCATGGCACAAGGGAAGGGGCTGGCGAAAGCCACCCAGCAAAGGGGCAGTGGAGATTTCCTAGGCCCCCCGCAGGTGACGGGAGCATGCTGCCTAATTAGGGGCGGGTAGAACTCTGGATGCTGGGTTAGGCCACGTGTTTGACAGACAGCCAGGATTCACGGTCGTGCTGTTGTGGGAGGAGCTGCCACCCTGCCCCCTAAGCCTGGGACAGGCATTCCGAACACCCCTGCCAATCCCTACCCCTGCCGGCTTGACCACTGGGTGGTTTAGGGTTTTCCTTCAAAGATGTGGGAAGAGGGCTGAGCCCCAGGACAGGTGGGATCAGAGGTGAGGAGAGAGGAGTGCCCCGGCCAGGGGTGGGGACCTGTGAGAATATATGAGTGTAAGTGAGTGTGTGAATGTGTGAGGATGTGTGGGAGTGTAAGCATGTGTGTGTATGATGATGCATATGAGAGTGTATATGAGCAAATATGCTCACATGAACCTGTGTGTGTGAGCTCGTGTGTGTGAGCTCCTGTGTATGTGTGAGCCTGTGTGTATCTGTGTGTGTCTCATCTGTGTGTGTGTGAGCTCCTGTGTATGTGTGAGCCTGTGTGTAACTGTGTGTGTGTGAATGAGCCTGTGTGTACCTGTGTGTGTGAGCTCCTGTGTGTACCTGTGTGTGTCTCATCTGTGTGTGTGTGAGCTCCTGTGTATGTGTGAGCCTGTGTGTAACTGTGTGTGTGTGAATGAACCTGTGTGTACCTGTGTGTGTGTCTCATCTGTGTGTGTGTGAGCTCCTGTGTATGTGTGAGCCTGTGTGTAACTGTGTGTGTGAGCCTGTGTGTACCTGTGTGTGTGAGCTCCTGTGTATGTGTGAGCCTGTGTGTACTTGTCTGTGTGAGCTCCTATGTGTGTGTGAGCCTGTGTGTATCTGTGTGTGTCTCATCTGTGTGTGTGTGAGCTCCTGTGTATGTGTGAGCCTGTGTGTAACTGTGTGTGTGTGAATGAGCCTGTGTGTACCTGTGTGTGTGAGCTCCTGTGTGTACCTGTGTGTGTGTGTGTGAGCTCGTGTGTGTGAGCTCCTGTGTATGTGTGAGCCTGTGTGTACCTGTGTGTGTGTGAGCTCCTGTGTATGTGTGAGCCTGTGTGTAACTGTGTGTGTGTGAATGAACCTGTGTGTACCTGTGTGTGTGTCTCATCTGTGTGTGTGTGAGCTCCTGTGTATGTGTGAGCCTGTGTGTAACTGTGTGTGTGAGCCTGTGTGTACCTGTGTGTGTGAGCTCCTGTGTATGTGTGAGCCTGTGTGTAACTGTGTGTGTGTGAATGAGCCTGTGTGTACCTGTGTGTGTGAGCTCCTGTGTGTACCTGTGTGTGTGTGTGAGCTCGTGTGTGTGAGCTCCTGTGTATGTGTGAGCCTGTGTGTAACTGTGTGTGTGTGAATGAACCTGTGTGTACCTGTGTGTGTGTCTCATCTGTGTGTGTGAGCTCCTGTGTATGTGTGAGCCTGTGTGTAACTGTGTGTGTGAGCCTGTGTGTACCTGTGTGTGTGAGCTCCTGTGTATGTGTGAGCCTGTGTGTACTTGTCTGTGTGAGCTCCTATGTGTGTGTGAGCCTGTGTGTGTATCATCTGTGTGTGGTGTTCAGAGGCACAGCCCACGTGCAGCCAGGGACAACGGGCACAGCTCACCCTGCGAGGCGGCCCCTCATCCCAGCCAGCAGGAGCTGGGGGAGACTCTCCTGGACCACCTGTCCCCCACGTGCACCTCATGTGCCCTCTCTCTCTCCTTCCCTGTCCCCCTCTCTCCCTGGCAGCACCACCTGTGAAAGGGAAACAGAAACAGTCAGAGGAAGGGGATCCCCAAGACCCACCTGCGTCACCTCAACCCTGTCCTGAGCAGAGCAGGAGCCACAGCCCGGTGGGCCTGGAGGTGAGTTTGGTGACTTCCCAGGACATCTTCCCGCTGCCCAGAAGGGAGTCCGGGCCCCTCTCCTTACAAGGCCAGCCTGGGACCTGCAGCAGAAGGCAAGCAGGGACTTAGCAGTCACTTTCAAGTTTAGTCTTTGTAGTCAAGCCCCTTATTCTGATGCAAAGGCCAGGAATCCTCATTTGCTCTCAGAGCAGAGAACTGCACCTGGGTCCTGCAGGCGAACATAACCGAGGCTTGGCTGCTGCCGGCTCAGGGAGGCAGACCGGGTGAGGCTGCAGGGCAGGGAAGCACCAAGCACCTGTGTGATGGACCTCACCGTGAGATGCAGGGGCTAAGACGCACGTGTGGCCTATGAAGGGCAACTCATCCTGGCCAACAGAGGGAGGGCAAGGCAGGTACTACTCCGTGGCCTTCCTGGGTACCCTGGGCCGCCAGGCCTCTGGAGGTTTTGGCCTAGGGCCCTGGACACAGGCTGGTGACATTCTCTGCCCACCAGAGCTAGGGTTGAGGGCTGGGCACCCTATCCGCTCCCCCACACACACCGGCCAGTGATTTCTGCCTGTCCCCAGCCACCCCTCCACTGAGGCCCACCCTGTTGCCTCCTGTTCTTTCCCCAGGACTCCCCCGAGACAGGCGGGGAGCGGGAGGAGGAGCAGGCCTTCCTGGTCAGCCTCTACAAGTTCATGAAGGAGCGACACACGCCCATCGAGAGGGTGCCCCATCTCGGCTTCAAGCAGAGTGCGTCCCTGGGGTGCAGGCAGGGAGGGAGGGGGTGCCCAGCAGAGAGACCCTCTCCCTATGGTTGCAGACAGGGCAGGGCCCTTGGGACAGGCAACTCTACCCTGGGTGGCTTCAGGTGCAGGAATTGCAGCTAAGAAGGGATGTACCCTGGGAAGGCCTGGCTGTGCACCCTCTGCCAGCCATGCCATGCATTGCAGAAGCCCGCCTGACCTGACCTGGGCACAGGGACGGCTGCAGGCTGTTCCCCACCTCCAGCAGATACCAACCCGCCTTGGCCCTCTCTTCCCTCCAGTTAACCTGTGGAAGATCTACAAGGCAGTGGAGAAGCTGGGGGCCTACGAGCTGGTAAGGAAAGCACCTCACAATCCACAGCTCACCTCCACCCTGCCCCGTGCTGCATCCCAGGCAGTTGGGGAAGGAGGCTGGCTGGGGGCGGTGGAGCTGATCTCACTTGCAGAAGGAGGAAGGAGCCAGGATCCCAGATACCATGCCCCTGCTTGCTAGGGGGAGATGGATTGCCGCCAACATTGGCTGCTCCAAGCTAGTTTCCTGGCTTGGCCCATCTGTTTGGCTGTCCTGTGTGTGGGTAACTGCTTGGGCCAGCAGTCAGTCGGATGGCCCCTGGGAGTGGGCAGGCAGCCTCCAGGAGAAGCAGGTGCAAAGCTGCAGCCCTTGCCCACCACGCCTGGAGCTGCGAGCACCACACTGCCAGCGTGCTCGCCTCCCGCACCCACACCAGGCGCCCTTGCAGGTGACCGGCCGCCGCCTCTGGAAGAACGTGTATGATGAACTGGGGGGCAGCCCGGGCAGCACCAGCGCCGCCACATGCACACGCCGCCACTACGAGAGGTGGGTAGGGGCAGCTGCTGTGGGATCCCCAGAACAGGCAGAGCACGCTGAGCGGCTGGGAAAGGGCAGTGGGTGGAGATGCTAGGCCCCTAACCACCATCCCCTGCCCTAAGGCAGGGTGTCAGCTGCATGTACGCCCACCCTTCTTGGGCCTCTGCCCAAGGCGAGCGGGTGCCCTAGATGAACTGTGTGCAGTTGGGTAGGGAGTGCTCCCCTCTGCCAGGAGTCTTCAGGGAGGTCAGGCAAGGGGAGGCCTGGCCTGGTGGACTCTTCTCACTCCTCCCTCAGGCTGGTGCTCCCCTACGTGAGGCATCTGAAAGGGGAGGAGGACAAGCCGCTGCCCCCCTCCAAGCCCAGGAAGCAGTACAAGCTGGCCAAAGAGCCACGGGGGGATGACAGGGCCCCCGAGAGGCCGAAGAAGGCCGCGGCAGCAGCCGCTGCAGTGGACCCGCAAGTGGACCAGGTGAGTCCTGAGCCAGCACTGACAGCCCAAGAACCCTGCTTCCAAAGCGCCTCCTAGTGGAGGGAGCTGTGCAGAGCACCCTGCTAGGAACCCCAGCAACCCCTGCAGAAGCTGTGGTCCGTACTGCATCCCACATCCCACCTGCCAGTCCCTTGTTCCCAACCCCAACACTGCTGTGTGCACTCAGCTAATGGTCACAGGGCACACAGGTGCTCCCAGGGCCAGCACGGGCTCATGGCTGTCCTCTCTGAGCCCCCAGCCCTGACCTCGCTGTTTTCCCATCAGATGATGCCGGGCAAGACCACCAAGGCCGATGCCACCGACCTAGCACACTTCCCTAGCCAGCAGCCCCCCAGGGACAATATGCAAGAGCTGTGCCCAGCCTCGGGGCCCTCTCTGCCCATGGTGGGTGCCAGCAGCTGCCCTGAGGCCTACCAGCGGTTCCTGTCCAGCTTCTACTGCAAGGGGACTCATGGCATCATGTCACCACTGGCCAAAAAGAAGCTCCTGGCCCACGTGAGCAAGGCAGGGGCCTTGCAATGCCAGGAGGAAGGCTGTCGGCACGGCGCAGGTGGACTGAGCGGGGTGCCCCGGGGGACCCCAGCAGCCACCCATCTCTCAGAGAGTCCCCGGAGCCCCAGCAGGCCAGCCGAGAGCTCCGGGTCCGAGCTGAACACCCCTCAGGAGGGACCACAGACTGCAAGGGGCAGCCCCCCGGATGAGGCTCGGGGCCTGGCGACCCCTGTCTTCACAGGCTGCTTCCATGCCTACCCTGCCGAAGTACTGAAGCCCATCAGCCAGCACCCCCGGGATTTCTTCGCTAGCCTCCACAACAGGGTGCTTGAGGGGCCACCAGCCAAGGAGCCCCCGCTGACATGGGGTGGGGAAGCTAGCCGGCCCTCAGCCTTCCACAGGAGTGGCTCCCAAAGGAGTGGCTTCTACCCAAAGCCCAAGGCCTGCTGGGTGTCCCCCATGGCCAAGGTGCCCCCCGAGAGTTCCGTGCCTCCACCTGCTGCCCCCCACAGCAGCAGCCCCAGCCTCAGCAGCAAGCGCGCGCTGGAGGGAGAGGGCTTTGTCCATGGCGGCAAAAAACTACGGGCCGTATCTCCTTTCCAGAAGGAGCCAGACTCCAAAGAGGGCGGGGCCCAGGCCACGGGCCCTGGTGTGGCTGTCTCCTGCCTGCTGGGTCCTGCACCCCCAGAAGCCTACAGGGCTGCCACTGCACTGCGCTGCCCGCTCAACCTGGCCTGCGCCCCAGACCCCTTGAAGGGTCAGGTCGCCTTCCCCTTCAGCCCCTTGGTCATCCCGGCCTTCCCGGCCCACTTCCTGACCACGACGGGTCCTGCGCCCCTGGCCACCGGCTTGATGCACCTGCCGCCTGCATCCTTCAACCACAGACTCAGCCCAGCCTCAGCCACCTGGTCTGTGCCACCTGGGCCAACCTACGCGGCACCTCACTTCTTCCACCTCAACACCAAGCTGTAGGTCAGAGCCCACCGTGCCACACCACATGGCCGGAGATGGGCAACCAAGGCCTGGTGCCCAGGGAGGCAGTGGGAAAGCCGACTGTCTCAGGGACTGGGGACCCAGTGGTTTTCAAACTTTGGGAGAGAATGGTGGGCAGTGGGCATCTTCCAGCCAGAGCCACCCAGAACAGGGGCTGGTGTATATGGGTGGAAGGGGCTGGGAGGGCCTGAGGAGCTGGGGGCAGCTCAGGCACTGGGGTCGCCTTCAGAGAGCCCAATAAAGACACGAGTGTGTTTCCACCCTGCCTCAGTTGTATGTCATATGAGGGCACGGGTGAGACTGCCAGTGCAGGAGTGTGAGAGAGAAAGGTCCTCTAGTGAACTGGGTGATGCCAGCCCACCCAGGAGCCAAGGGGGCCTCCTGGGATACTGCTCAGACTCTGCTGTGTAGCCCATGCCTAAGCAGTCCTCAGAGGCTCAGAGCAGGATAGCACTGAGTGCAGGGACCTGTGAAGGGAGGGACACAGGACTCCTGCTGCCACCTAAATGCCAGGGGTAGAGAGTGAGGCCAGGGTGCAGGCAAACTCCCTGTCACCGAGGGGTGGGTAATTGGGGGAGCAGGGCCTCCAGTCTCTGTTTTCAGGGGCTGCCTTTGGGCAGGGGCTCAGGCAAGAGGGCAGCGGTCAGCACTGCGTGAACACTCCTCAACTGGACAACAACACCTCCCCAGTCCCTGCTTCCTCCTGGGAGGAGCCAGGCTGCCAGCCCTGAGCTACAGGCAGCCGCTGAATTCGGCCTGATGTCCAGGCGGACACCCTCGGCACTGGGTTGCAATTCATGGAAATTAGATCCCTTTTGCAAGGGGAAGGCGAGGGCTCCCTGTGGTGCGCCGGGGCTGCCAGGACTCCATCTGCATAGCAACCCTGGCTCTGCCCTCCATAAAGGTGGGCCTCTGGCCTGGTGGACACAGGACGATCAGCGTTGATGGTGGCGCCCCCTGGAGTCTGTCCTGGGAAAAATCTCGCATGCGGCTGCTTAGTCCTGCACTGCCTGTGTGTCCATCTGGGTGAGCACACGGACGGCTGGCAGGGAAGGTACTAGAAGGGCAGTCTAGAGTCTAGGAGGGAAGGCAGTGGTTACTTCGGCTTCAGTAGGGGCAGAAGCTGCTGGTGGTGGCCTGAAGATGGGTTTCAGTCTTTTGAATTCAGCTGATTCGTTTCAGAAATGGCTTTCCAATTAAAATGTGGATATGGAGATTTTTCCCTCCTTAAAAAAGGGGGATTTCCGGCGCAGGGATTGCTTCCCGAAGCTGAGCAGGGCCTCGGACAGAGTGACCATCCATTGGTTAGCCTGCACACCCAGGGCCGGGGGATGCGCCCTCTGCCCGGCCAGGTGCTGCCGCCGCGCGGACGCTAGGCGGCGCTGCGTCTCCGTGTTTCCCAGGAGAAGCACCGGGAGGAGGTCGCGGCTGGAAAACCGCAGGAGAGGATCCCAGCGAGGCTCCCGGGCTGTGCATCCCTCACACGAGCGGGGTGACCCTGGGAGAGGCGCCCGTGCTGACAGCGGCCAAGGGTAAGGCCCCCGGCCCCCTGGGTAAGGCCCCCGGCCCGCTGCCCAGCCACTGCCCCTTAGCCCGTGGAGCTGGGCTTCTCGAGCCTGGCTGGGGTGTGGCCTTGGGGTCCGTGCGTCCCTGTCACCCCAGGCCGTGGGCCTCAGCTGTGGCGTGGAAATGAGTCACTGCGCCCTCAGGAGTGCTGGGCATTTGGGGACGATGCTTTGTTAACTGTGAGTCGGCTCTGCCCGCCCTGGCCGCAGTTCTCCTGGCTGCTTGGGGGCCCTACTGTCCACCTCACCCCCTTGACATTCCTGCATGTGGGTGCTGACCACCACCTTCCTGCCCAGAGTCTGACTCACGCCCTCCCTGACCTCCGTGTCCTGTCTGTCTGTGAGTTGAGAATCCAACCAGGTATCAGCTCCCGCTGTGGTTGTCTGCAGCTTCGGGTTGGCTCAGTGTGAGAGTGATGCAATTGGTTAGTAATGTCTGCCACAGCCACAGAAAGGGGTGCGGAGGCTCACCTGCCACGTGGGTGCCCTCTCCTTCTGAGGGCTATGATGTAACCAGTACATGTTGATTTGCAGTCAAACTCAGGTCCCTGACCTCACTGGCGTTGCTCCCGCAGCCGCCACTGGTGAGCACAGGTTGTCGGGGAGCGGGGCTTGGACTGGGCACCGCATCACCACGAGCAGCAGAGTGGGACAGCTGGCTTAGTAATCAGGGAGACCTGTTGGGAGCCCTCCCGCTGGACTGCCTCCTCCCCTCCCCTCTCTAGCCTCAGTGAAAGATAGAAGAGAGGAAGAAGAGGGAGGAAGGGAAAGGGGAGGAGGGACCATTTGGGAGTGAACCAGTGGGTGGAAGATTTTTCTTTTTGTCTCTCCTTCTGTCTGTAACTCTGCCTTTCAAATCAAAATTTAAAATTAAATCTTGGGCCCAGCGGCGCAGTGGCCTAGTGGCAGAAGTCCTCACCTTGAATGCACCGGGATCCCATATGGGTGCTGGTTCTAATACCAGCAGCCCTACTTCCCACTCAGCTCCCTGCTTGTGGCCTGGGAAAGCAGACAAGGACAGCCCAAAGCCTTGGGACGCCGCACCCGTGTGGGAGACCTGGAAGAGGTTCCTGACTCCCAGCTTTGGATCGGCGCAGCACCAGCCGTTGCAGCCACTTGGGGAGTGAATCTTCGGATGGAAGATCTTTCTCTCTGTCTCTCCTCCTCTCTGTATATCTGACTTTGCAATAAAAATAAATAAATCTTAAAAAAAAATTTATTTAAATAAATCTTAAAAAAACATTTATTTAAATAAATCTTAAAAAAACATTTATTTAAATAAATCTTTAAAAAACATTTATTTAAATAAATCTTAAAAAAACATTTATTTATTTTTATTGGAAAGTCAGATATACAGAGAGGAGGAGAGACAGAGAGAAAGGTCTTCCGTCTGATGATTCACTCCCCAAGTGAGCGCAAAGGCCAATGCTATGCCGATCCGAAGCCAGGAGCCTCTTCCGGGTCTCCCACGCAGGTGCAGGGGCCCAAAGCTTTGGGCCATCCTCGACTGCTTTCCCTGGCCACAGGCAGGGAGTTGGAAGGGAAGCAGGGCTGCCGGGATAGAACTGGCGCCCATATGGGATCCCGGGCATGCAAGGCGAGGACCTTAACCACTGCGCCACCGCGCCGGGCCCCCATAAATGTTTTTTTAAAAGAAAAGAAGATAGCCATGTCTTCATGATGACCAATCTCTTGCAGTAAACACCAGTTTCTAGGACACAATGGAAATTTGGGCAAGTAGGACTGTAATGCTGACAGCTAACACTTGCCAGATACTTGGTTCCAGGTTTGGTACCAGGCAGGCCCAGGTTTCTTGATGAGCAAATTTCTAGTTTCACCTTTGGTTCCCCTAGGAGGAGGCTAAAGGAGGGAATGAGTTGCCTAAGGGCACCGCTGGCAGCAGGGCGGGACACAGCTGGTTTCCCTTATTCTACCCCTAGAGGCGAGTGCACAGGGGCTATGTGCACAGGCAGGTGCACACCTACGGGCTGCACTGGGCAGCTCTCACAGCAGTGCAATTACCTGTCCCCCCCCCCTTCCTTTCACCATATCTTTACAGTTCCAAATCAGAGATTAGGGTGTGATTTTAGGGGAATCTTGTGCATTATTTATTGTTTTAATTTGAAAGGCAGAGTTACTAAGAGAGACAGAGAACTATCCCTTGGATCACTTCCTAAATGGCAGCCGGAGTTGAGCCGATCTGAAGCCAGGAGCTTCTTCTGGGTCTCCCATGTGGGCAGAGGGGCCCAGGGATTTGGCCATTCTCCACTGCCTCCTCAGGCCATTAGCAGAGAGCTGGACAGGAAGTGGAACTGCCAGGACTCTAACTGGCACTCATATGGGAGGCTGGCAGAGGCTTAGCCGGCTACGTGATTGCGCTGCCCCTCCCCCATTTTAAAGATATATTTATTTATGGGAAAGACTGAAAGACAAAGAGACAGGAAAAGATATGCCATTTGCTGGTTCCTTCCTCAAATGCCTGCTAGGTCTAGGCCAGGTTCAAAGTCAGGAGCTGGGAACCCAGTCCATGTCTCCCAAGTGGGTGGCAGGAGTCAAGTACTTCTGAGCCGCCACCTACTGCCTCCCCAGGAGTACAGGAGCAAGAAAGCAGAGGAGGAGGTAGAGCCGCGCCCAACCAGGTGCTCTGTTACTGGACCTGGGCAACCCAGGCAGCCTCTTTGTGTTGTTTTTAAAGAGTTACTTTTTTTTTTTATCAGAAAGGCAGAGTTACAGAGAGAGAAGGAAAGACACAGAGAGACACTTTATCCACCACTGGTTCACTCTCCAAGTGGCCACAATAGTTGGAACTGGTTCAGTCTGAAGTTGGGAGCCAGGAGCTGCTTCTGGGTCTCCCTCATGGGTGCAGGGGCCCAAGGACTTGGTTCATCCTCCAGTGCCTTTCGAGACACATCAGCAGGGAGCTGGATCAGAAGTGGAGCAGCCAGGACCCCAATCAGAGCCTAAATGGGATGCCAGCACCACAGGCAGAGAATTAGCCTGCCACATCCTGCAAGCCAAACACCTGTCCCCCCACCCCAAGCCAAACACCTGTCCCCCTGCCAGCTGTGGAGGTGAAAGAGCCACAAGCCATGGCACGCAGTGGTCTTTACAGCTGGCAGGTAAACGGATGCCCCTGGAACCCGCAGTAGGAACGCAGTCTTGTGATGGCTGATGTAGCCCCATGCTTTGTGCTTCCGGTCTCCGGGACTGTGGTATCATGATCTGTATTTGGTTTAAGCTGCCGAATTGAGGTAGCTTATTATAGCAACAGTGGACTAATAGCACGGATGCAATGAGGAATGTAAATAATTTATGGCCAGAGGGCGGTTTTGAAATTTGCCTGGTAAATTCCTACGCTCCTTTCCAGACGTGGAGCCTGATTCCCTTCCCGGAACGTGGGTTGGAGTTAGTGACTCATCTAATGAATAAACTAACAAAGTAAGGCAATAAAGAACCTTCTCTATACAGAGAAAACTTGTGATGTTTATACATTTTTAAAATTATTTTCATTGTACTTGAAAAGCAAAAAGAGAATCCATCTTCCATGCACTGGTTCATTCCCCAGGTGCCTACGACAGGTAAGGTTGGGTCAGGCCAAAGCCAGGACCCAGCACGCAACCTAGGTCTGTTGTGTCGGGAGTAGGAAGCCCAGCACTCAGCCGTCACCTGCTGCCTCCCAGGAGACACAACAGCAGGAAGCAGGACTCAGGGTGGGGACTTGGGCATTGTGATGTGCGATGTGAGCGTCCTGAAGGGAATGCCAAGTACTGACCCGACACCCGCCCTGGTGTGTAACTTTTGACACCCCATCTGGTTCAGTGGGGG